AGAAGCCTTCGAGCCCTCCAACGATGTTGAATAGTACAGTACAGTATGTCTAATTCTCATTCTTTCCTCTCTCGTATCAACGAGCAGCTTGCAAGAAAATCCTCGCTATTTTCTTTCCAACTCCGTCGACGCTCTTTGAGGTTTTCGATAGACGAATACAGTACAGCATTTCTGCGAGAATAAGGGAAGTACTGTATTGAAGCACGTGTTCTCTAGAATTATTCTTCGAGTGTTCCCCAACCCGTGGTCCGCGGACCGGCGCCGGTTCGCAGAAGTTTTTTGCCGGTCCGCGGGAAATTTCTCCAGGCTAATGCATTTTTCACGAGTAGCAATGAAAGAAGTTTCAGTATCTTTATTTTTTAATTTTGGCAAGACAATGGCAGTTCAATTATATCATGAAAAACAAATCTTGGCTTTTCTCCAAATATTACTTCAGATTTTTTAAAACGTAATTTAATGTTTTTTCAAGTCTGAAAAACCTTTCTTCAAGCACACCTTTCCATTCTTGAAGACAATCCACTATAGCTGCTTCATTGGATCCTGAATTGATTTTACAAAAAAGCAGACGCTTTTCAAATATCTGCCATTCAAGCTGTCTTTCAAGCAACACTTTTTTGAGCATGCAAAAATTTTATGAAACTTCGCCGGTCCACAGAAAATTTCTCGGAAATTTACCGATCCGCGGGACCAATCCGAGGGCAATGTGAAGCTCATTCACTTGATTTTTTCTTCAATCATTTACATTTTGCGGCTTCGCTTGAATCGGTACGACGAACCCGCACATTTGAGAAAATAATAAAAGCGTAACGAAATTTAAGCGGTTCCTTCCAATGGTTGAGGGGTTCTTCTCCAGGATTATGTTTGTTTTTTGGGGACTTGAAGTTACCGGGCGTCAGTAAGGTACAAATATTTTCGTGCAAAGCGCTCATACTTCGGCGTTATCTTTTTCTTGGGTTATTTTCAAAAGAAAAAACATGATTCATAAACTTCATGGGCGGCAGAAACGAGCTTTCCAAAAATTTAAATCTGCACAGGATGTGTCACATCAACAATACGAAAGAGATCTTTTCGATGAATACAGGTGGACTCCCTCTGTAACGGTCTTGTCTAAAACGAGTTTCTCTGTACAACGAAATTTTTTTGGTCCCATCGAGTGGTTTCCCCATATTCTTGGGATTCTCTACAACGAATTTGTGTCCGGTCCCTTGGATTTCGTTGTGGAGAGAGAATCTCGTTACAGCGAAGCCATTGGGACCAGGAAAATACTGTAGTTTCGTTGCAACGAAACTCCCTTAAAATTGTGGCTATTGAGCAGCAACCTTAAAAATGAATTGAAACTTCGCTGCGACTGATATTTATGATGAGATTTGTTGCAACGAGATTCTGCTGAACTCGGTTTTTGAGATAATCTGCTGCATCAAGTTGATGATGAATGAGCACGGAAAAAAGGTTTCTTTTGATCCTAATGCCGAGACACACGTCTCATGTTCATGAGGCACAACTTTGGAGGTAGACCAGCATGAAAGTGAGTTCAATCAATTTCACGGAAATTTGGATTGGTAAACATTTTGAAGATCTCATTGAATGTCACAGTTAAAATCTGAACAAGTTAAGATATTCGGCAATGCTTTAAAAAGTTTACATTATTAGAAGAGTTGTTTTTGTTTCATCGTGGCCCTCATAATGCTCAGTGTTTTCAATGCGACCCATGGCCACTTCCGAGCTGAGCACCGCTGATACTCTTACTTGAGAGCACCAAGCGTCGCTACTAGAGAATTGAAATCTGCACTTGACAATTCGTGGTTCTAATCGTTATAACCTTCAGCTCTTGGACTATGTATGCTCAACCCGAGTCAAACCAGCCATTGCACCGCCCATTGGAAAGTCTTGCCGCGAGTTCATGTGATGGAGAGAGCATTCAGGAGAAGATCACTTTGAACAAAAAGGGAAAATCGTAAGCAAATTCAAAGAGGAGCATGGTTTGAAGAAGAGAATGAAGGAAAGTCGTATTTTGGGTGATTCCAGAGTGTGAGTTTGAACCGAGTTGACCAGAGACGTGTGCGGTATTTCGAAATGCTGCCGGATTTAAGTGTGCCCAGTGGTCCGCGACGGTTATTCGGTCCGTTCGAGCGACTTCGAACAGCCAGCACCGGGAGAAGTTTAATTTTATTTTATTCACTTTATTTTATTTCTCTTTCCTTCTTCTTCTTCTTCTGTTCCTTTTTATGAGGTTGAGCTACACTTTCTGGGTAGGAACGAGGAAACGATACTTTCGGACAGCCTCCTGTCGTGTGCGTGAATGCGTGCGTGCGTGCTTGCTTGTGTTCTTCGAAATCTTCTTTGATCTGTTGGCTTTTCGTCTCCCCACGCTGTTTTACTCTGGGTGACGCACTCTCCACGGTTTGTTGAAATTTCATGGGTTTCGAAAATTTTTAAAATACGAAATACCTCTGGGAATAACGGGAGTTCGCATTGCTTTGATGTCACGGAATGCTCAGTTGGGTGACTCTGTACGGGTGCTTTTTTTTTCGATTTCCATCGGGGTATTTGATCGGAGACCAATTTCTTTGGTAAGAGCTGAAAGGGAAGGGAAACCATCTGCGCCAAATTTCTGACTTGAAACTTGGAAGGTATCTTTGTGGTCCGGAAAAAAACTGATCGGGATTCCGGATGAGGTGATCCGTAATTCGAAGACGAGAGAGTGTCTCGAAATATTGTATATTCAGCCAAGATTCATGGGGTGTTCGTCAAAATCACGCGACCTTGTCGTTAGATAAATTGTTGCATTATCCGTGATGTTTTATTTTCCGAAACAAAGGTCCACTACATATTCACATTACTGTGATGCGTTGCTGAAAACGATTTAAGAAGTTTCAGTCATACCGTTGACAGCAAAAAGTCGAGATCGAAAAATTGCCGGAAAATGTTCTTCCGGTAGCTTCCTTTCAAACACTAGCCGTCATTCATGCGCGGTTTTTACAATCGGATAATTTTAGGTGACATTATGCCAAGTTTGCTTTGACTAATTTTACGTTACAGTTGGATATCTTTGAGTCCAACTCGAAGGGACCAGCAAAAAAATTCGAGTTGGGGAAGCTTCCCAGTCAGGGAAACAAGCATTTGTGGGGAGGATGGGGGAGGAGTGGAGAAAGAATTACAGGAAATTGTGATTAGTGATATTCTGAGCGTTAAATTGCTTCTCGAAATAAATTGACAGGATGCTGAACTTGCAGACGAGGGTTCATTTGTTGCTTTTCGGAGAGTGAAGGAAGGTTTTGTGTAGTTCATCGTAAAAATAACGAAAAAGGTGAGGACACGGTTATCTTACTTTCGTTTTTTCGGAGGTTTACACACTCAATGACTCCAAACTCCTTCTTGGCCTTTGAGTTGGGGAGGCTTTAAATACATTGGTTCCAAGAGAAGTCAGATAAGGACACAAAACAAATTTAACATGAAGAGGTGTTCGATTTATCCAGGTTCCTGTATTTTACCTTGAATTTTTCTAGAACGGTTATGCTGCCTTTCTAGGCTAGTTGACGTTGAAAGATTTCACGTCTGGCTGCACTGGAACTCTTTTTTTTTTTAGACTAGAAATGCTAGAGGAAGAGAAGTTCCGATTAATGATCTAGTTTATTTTTAAACTATGTCGTTTGAGTCTGGACGGAGAAGCGTGACCCGCATAGCCGTTCGGGAATAGATAACCTCGGGAAAGCTGTTACAATCGTGTATTTGTTATTCCTGCAATGCCTCCTTCGCTAAGAAATAATGAATCTGAAACATGATCGAAGTTCCCTTATAAATCGACTTCTTCAGGTGTCTGTCGTGATTGTCAGAACCCGATCGTCGACAGGCTGCGATGGAATAGGACGAAGAAGTTGAATAACGTCGCGAAGGATTCGACGACATTTTAAAAGCTGTACAGGTACGATCTTAAGCTCTTGAATTACAGGCAGGAGTTTGGGAGTTTTAGCGAACTAAAATTCACATTGCAAGCTAATCTTTGTGACAGATCCATTGATACGATCTGGAACTTACAGTAGAATCTTCTCGAACACTCTTTTTCCCTCCCAAAAAAAAAAAGAGAGAAAAAAACGGTGAGCTCTTTCAGATCAACTTTTCCGCCAGTCGAGAAAAATGCTAGGTTGATACTTGTACCCATTCCAACGAACATTCAGCCAATCGACAATACGTTATAACTTTCAAGCACAAACATCATCAAAATTTGATCATTCACAATGAAATGGTGAGAAAAAGTCCGGCTTCTTCTTCCTTCTTCGAGCATAGCAGTATTTTTTTTTTTAATGACACAGCCGCCGTGATATTACACGCACGTCTCATTTCACATAAAAGCATGTCAAGGTGAGCCTACTTCGTTGATGGTCAAATCCGAACACACAAAAAAACCTATTCTTCAAGGGGACGAAGTTTCTTGTACAACATGATGCATACAAGGTGCATACACCTCTCCAAGTCGAATTTGAAGGGACTCCGATACAATTTCGACTTGGAGTGATTTTTATTTACAAAAAATGGCCGATTTCTTTTTTGAAAATTGATCAATTAACATATTTTGGAGCAATTCTTAGAAGAGTGTATCATTCTGTTACGCCCTATCTGAAGTAAGTTCCAAAATCTTCCACGAAAAGCATTAGAAGAGAAATGTTTCTATGTTCTGGATCTGGCACTTTGAAATTTAGTGTCAGTTTAATTGCGATAAGGAAGTGAGGGAGGTTAGAGCCAAAACATCGCAAGTTATAAAGGTTTGAAATTCATTCCTCTCACGGCGATTTGTCCGAGATTTACTGGAAATTCGAGTGATGGAGGTTTTTACTCAAAAGAGGTTTATCTTGAAAAGGTTGAACTGCACAGCAAAGTTTCGAAAATACCGCGAGCGTCTTCGATTCTCCACCGATCGATTGATTTTTTTTTCTCTTTTTAAAAGTTTTCAGCTGAGTTTAAAAATCAATGGCTAATCATATTCGACTAATCAAGATACTGCATCACTCAAGAAAGGACAGGATCATCACACTGACCTCCCACTTGACTTTGACGACCCGTCGCAAATAGGTTTCGTAGTTGTAGGCGTTGATTTCGCTGACGCGTGACGCCAAAATCCCGCCCAACAGCCGCACAATGAGGTCCTTGAGCAGCAACGGACTCTCGGATTCCTCGTGGCCATCAGTCAGCAGCGCCTCTTCCAGGTCCTGAAAACGAAACCAGACAGATAGAACACAATCACAATTACGGATCATCAGCAACACATTGTAAAGAATCACACGAGCCTCTGCGTGCGAATTACGCCATTTTTCTTCTATCCTACCCGAATTTTTGAGCGCGAGCAAAGGGTTAATGAAAACCCAGGCTATTTTTCCAGCCCATGCTTTTCAGTATAGTATGCCTCCAATCAATCGTGCTTTGATTAACCAGACATCTGATTGAAGTACTGTACTGTAATGCGGCAGTTGCGTTTAATTGAGGGGAAACAAAGTGGCCAACAGACATCTCGTTATTTCAACACGAACAGCTTCGCTTTCCTTTGATGGACTAATCATCAATGCCAACGCCCTTCGGTTCACAGAAAATGTAACGGTAACAACGCTCGTAGACCATAACTCAAATATGTCCAACACTGTTGTATCAGATTGTCTCAAGGTTTCCATTTATTCAGTAATGTTTCGTTATCCGGAAAACAGTACCCGGTCATTGAAAAGGATAATTACAGTTTTACTATATCTTCTATAAGCTTTTGTTTTTCTCGTTTCTTGCTCCAATCACGCATCACTCGTGGAAATCAGCGAAGGTAACGAGTAATTCACATCCGCCGCTTGCGAGAGATTTCAGGTAGTTTGATCGCTTGGATTTTTTAAAACTTAAATTGTAGCAGATACTGTATGCAGTACTTTCTTGCAACAGCAATTCTTACCCTCTTTCAAATGTTTCAATGACATGTTTTCGACAGGGAATTTGGTCATCAACTTAATATCGCGGATTATTGGGGAGGGGGATGTGCAGAGCAAGAAAAGATGCTCTGGAAAATATGACACACGTACAAAGACTGGTTTTAAATTGAAATAACCCAATTGGGCTCCTCGGGTCCACAGAACCCGTTTCATTTGTGTGCTTATGTTATGCACCACCGTGAATCACATAAACGTGTTCATATCTTTGTAGCAGCAACTACGTTGATTTGCAAAAGAGTTTCTTCAATTTTTGCTTTTCAACCTAGAAGCAATTTAATATTTTCCCCGCAAGAGAGTAATGTTTTTCCCGCCAAAATTTTTCCAGCCAGAAATTTAGCTCTATTCTTTCCACCGCAAGATGTGGCGGCCCGCGGTTCACGCTTCAACTATAACAACGTAATCTTGATTATTCTCGCTGAACTATCTCCCGACACGCACGGCTTAATCGCCATAAAATCAAAAATCATCCACGTTCTAACCAAGAATTGAGATCCGAAGAACTCGATGCAGTACGCGTTCATGCGGGGTTTATCGGCTTCTAATGAGCAATGGATACAAATTAGAAGAACTGAAGTATCAATTCGCAAGTCGGTACTTGCAACATCACGCGCGCATTACCAGCCGTGGCCGTCGGCGTTTCCGAAAAGAAAAAAATTATCGATTCATCACTACCTCTTCAATTTCCCCACAAGCACAAAGCGAGTACCGTGCCGTAGTGCAGTTTACATTTTTTTTTTTTCAATTAATTCTTCTTTTCGAATCCAGTCCCGCGTCGTCGTGAAATGAAAAGACGTGAAACGCCGCATTAATGAGGATTCTGGTAACAATTTGATAAGACAAAAAAGTTGCTAAATCATCTTTCCGGTCGCTCGCCTGAGGAAAAATGTATCTTGTTCACTAGCAATCTCGGGACTAACCCCGAAAATGTGGTTTGGCATGTACGATTCCAAAGTTTCTGTGGAAATATTTTTAGATTACAAGGCGCTTGCATGAAATAATATTTCGAACAGTCACTCGTATCCGTTCCGATATGTCGAGCTTTGGAAAACGAAATCTCAAACAAAACTCACAAGAGCGCTGAATCATGAAGGAAATCATGCCTCGAATTCATCACACGTGGAAAGAAAAGATAACCTCACACCTCACATTCATAGTCGACTATGAACGTGCTTTCTATTCACTAGAAATCGTGACCTCGGATGAAGCATCGCTCAAGCAATCAAAAATCATACACAAGACAGACCAACCTCACCTCAAACAATCAAAATGCTTCGGAATCGAAAAAAGAAAATAAAAATTTGAATTGTATCTTTCACAGAAACAATTATTACTCACGTGAAACACTTGACTATTATCATCTATCCAAGACTCATCCAACGATAGCACCAGTGATTCCCGACGAAGCGAATTTATCATTATGGAAACAGCGACACTCCTGACCGTGCCCACGAAAAAACTTCCCGCAAAATTTGACATTTCTAAATAAATACAGTACCACACCGAAATTATCCCGAAGACGCCGGGGCAATTGAGCCTATTCAAAGCAAATGCGTCTCGAAACGGCGCCTTGAAAACTACGTGTACTTATGAAACCAGCGCAAGAAATGCTTTTACGTACCAAAATTATTTGGTTGTAAGAGATGTAAAACCTTTAAAGAGTGCTTTTATAGCGCAGTTTTCAGCAAGAAGTATCGTACTAAAGGTTTTTACTCTAGTGACATGACATGAGCTAGGCATAATAAATTTTCCTGCAAGACAGAAAGGGCACTTATTATCGAAGTACAGTATAATGTACAGTATAATGGGGTACCAAGATACGGACGTAATTCGTGCTTGGGCCTCGTCCCTACGTCAAAACATCCTAACGTTCGATCAAGTTTTCTCAGTGACTTTAATGCGAACAATTTTAGTTGGTCCTCTTGCTTGTTAAAAATTTGGAAGCTGACTGAAACGAATAAGGAAGCGAGCAAGTAAAATACTGTTGATTCTATGGCATTATTTTGAGAGAAGAAACGTAACACACGCGTATTTTCTGTACAGTAATTTCTCCTTTTCACTTTTTTTTTTGACCCGCTCAGATTTTAAACGCACCCAAATGTCAGATGACAAATATCAGAGCTCTTTTTCAAGCTTACTCTTAATCCCCGTCCTTCTGCTTGCGAAACGGTCAATTCATTTCAAGCCACGAGGAATAAAATCATTCCAACAAAAAAATGCCATAAAAGATCGGGTTTCAAGGCGGAGAGACTGAAGCATTTTACGAAAATGCATGGTTTTAATAAACCAACATTCTCTACATTTTGGAAATTTCTCACGAAAATATCGCGTCAAAAGTCGTTCTTCATAGCATGATTTCCAAAAATGAGATCACTGTACTGTACTCGTAGGCATAATAAATTTTCCTGCAAGTTGGAAAGGGCACTTATTATCAAAGTACAGTACAGTAAAATGGGGTACCAAGATACGGACGTAATTGGTGCTTGGACCTCGAACCTACGTCAAAACATCCTTATGTTCGATCACGTTTTCTCATAGACTTTAATGCGAACAATTTTAGTTGGTTCTCTTGCTTGTAAAAAATTTGGAAGGCTGACTGAAACGAATAAGGAAGCGAGCAAGGGAAATACAGTACTGTTGATTCAATGGCATTATTTTGAGAGAAGAAACGTAACACACGCGTATTTTCTGTACAGTAATTTCGCCTTTTCACTTTTTTTTTTTAGACCCGCTCAGATTTTAAACGCACCCAAATGTCAGATGACAAATATCAGAGCTCGTTTTCCAGCTTACTCTTAATCCCCGTCCTTCTGCTTGCGAAACGGTCAATTCATTTCAAGCCACGAGGAATAAAATCATTCCAACAAAAAAATGCCATAAAAGATCGGGTTTCAAGGCGGAGAGACTGAAGCATGCCAACCAGGTTTCCACACGGAACACAAGCTCACATTCCCCAACAAAAGTACTGTACTGAACTTCTTCATCCCCGTTAAGAGTCCATTCGTTGCGTCCTTTCGTGTTCTTCTTCCTTTGTTTCTGCATCATTCTCGAAAAAAATAAAATCTGGCAGCTATGGAATCCCTACTCGCAGTTACGACCCGAAGCCCCCGGAAATTTTCTTGTCAGCCTAGACATGACGCAGTTTCAACCGAACCCGCGGTTGGAAACAGTCCACGGCAAAATACACCCACGTGTCTCAAGGCAATTTCGTTAAAAGTACCCGGATCGCCTCGACGAAGAAGCCAATGAAATTCCCCCAAACCCCACCAACTTCCGTCTGGCGAAATACTCAAACGTGGGCTCGGAACTTGCTTCAAAAACAGCCAACTTCCGAGCACGAATGGGGCATTTCGATTTCCGGAAACACTCCACCTTAACCCATCGAGCTTTGTTCGAAAATAGGGCAGTTAGTGGGATCAGATCGCTGGAAATGATCGTCTTCCACTGTACAATTTTCAGCCCACCAAATCTCGATACAGTGGTAGTGATAAGGCAGGTAATGCTAGTTTACTACACATGGCCCATGAACGTTAGGCCTCCTACGCTTGTACTACTCTGGATAAAGAAAGATGAAACAAGAAACTCGTCTACGCGATTCCATCCTTCCGTGCAGCGGTTTCAGAGCAACAGACAGCCTAAAAACAATTTCCTGCACGGCCCCAGGGACAGAAAAAAGGGTTCTCGAACCTTTAAAAGGGTTACATACAATTCTTAAAGCTTAGAATCCTTGCAGAAAATACGGTGAGACCCCCAGATGCAGACATAATTGGTGCATCAAGAGTGTCCCTAAGTAGAATTGTCTCTGAGTCGAGTCTTGTTTTCCCATAGACTTACATTATATATTTTTAATTGGTGTTTTATGGAAGAAATATTCTTCAGAATTCCATGAAAAAAATTTGTTTGCCACTTGAATTTGATTCAGTGAATATCTTTTCAACCCAATACGACAATTTGGAGCATTGAATAGTATACCACTGTACAGATCATTGGAATATTGGCATCTGTAAAAATAACATCCAAGTCACAAAGAGAGAAGGCAGACCCCCTGTGCTACAGGTAATTTTTTTTAATTACCTGAATGGATGGGAAAAGTACAAAATAAATTTTCGGGCATAGATCTTAGGGTGAGAAATATCTGTTTCTTGCAATTAAGCTTAATAAAAGTCAATTTTCCTCAAATTTATTTGCAATTTATCATGCAATGTCCTCGAGTCAGTGTCCGTATGTCGGGCCTTTTTGTGATTTTTTTATTGAAAAATAAATGTCCCTAAGTCGAATTGTCCCCAAGTCGTGGTATCCGCATGTGGGTGTCTCACTGTAATCACTTTTGAAACATCAGAACATCGTGATGTATCATCTCTTTCTAAATCAATGAAAAGGAAATGATTGCTGCATTGATCGCTGACTCATTTTCCTTGAGTTATTCGAGGTATAGTTGCACATTAAAATTTCAAATGGCCAGAGAAGGATTCTGAATATGAGAAAAGATTAAGACAATCGTTTGGACCTCGATAACTCAAATACCTCCCTATGTCGAATTTTTTCGCAAGTCTCCGTCTGAATTCCTTTAGAATAGTGCATGGAAAAAACCTCCGCAACTCGAAATCTCCCCAACTGGAATTTTTTGATGGTCCCTTAAAGTTCACCTTGTATAGGTTCGAATGATGATCCTCACTGCCCCACAGTACTCTCGAACCGTATCTTGCATGTTGTGAGAAAAGCGTGATAAACTTGACTAATCCCACACAGCATTCCAATTAAGATGTTAAGCACTTCAGATGATGAGATCAAAGAAAGTAGTCAGGCACTAGGGCAATGCCCAGTTCCATCCATGCGTGCAACCGGGCGCCTTAAAAACCGGACTCGAACCTTCTAATAACCAGAGAAAATGAAGCAAATCGTAAAACATCATCATTCTAAAGTCAGACGTTCATGGAAGAGGAAATGGCTGATGCTTCGGTGGTTGAATTTTTATGCTATTATTCATGAGCATCACATTTTAGTGCCTGTGAAATAAGATACAGTAAAATTAATGCGGAGGGTAAGAAATGGCTGAGATAATCTTTTCCAATGCCATGGTAATCGCAACCGCCTTCACATCACCTTTACTGGTGTGAATAGTATGCGGAAATCAGACACACCTTGCCTTTGACCCAGCAGTACAAATAAAGCTTTCCTATGATGCAACATTTCAGAAATTTAGCGTAAGACCGCAACGATTTAAATTTCCTAAAATCTGCATCATTCCTTGAAAAGCTGTTCTTATTCCAAAGCTCTTCTGTGTTGAATTCTTTTTCATTTTTATAAAATTCATTGTCAAATTTGACCATTTCATAAAAGACTAGGGGTATATTTACGAATATTGCAGAAAAAGAAAAATGGCTACAGTACTTCAGGCAATAAAATGCTTCAACAGATTATAAAGTGTATTTCTGTGAATAAATCCATGAATCTCAATATAACGAATTTTTCGTTACAACGAATTTTTTCCCATTTCCTGGGAGTTCGTTGTAATGAGATTCTACTATATCCTACCGGCAAACTAAACAATAAACTGATACTATCAAATTACTTCCCTCTTCAAAACATTTTCACTTCCTTCTCCCAAAATGAACCATTTGTGATGAACAATGACTTCCGGCAAAATGTAGTGTACAGACTTTGATGAAGCACGTTTTTGAAGGCGTGTCATTTTTCAATAAAAAAGCCAAACATAAAATCTTTTGAAGTGCCGGAAGGGAAAAAGAACGTGATGGGATAAGTAAGACTCGAGGGGAGTTCAAAGTTAACGGACCACTTGAAGTTCAAAAAAGTTCTTCACAATCTCACGATTTTTTTTTTCATCAGACATATCCAGTTAAAAGCACGGAATCAAAAATTTCACAGCTGTCAAGTTGACCAAAATGGTCTTTTAAATAACCAATTCTGATGAAGGAACTTCTTTCTAAATCTTTCCTTCGAAAATTTGTAGTTGGTCACCATTTACAAATTTGTACAGTGATTTGCAGACAGCTGAAGCCAATTCCGTAGACATGGGATGATTTCAAGTAAGCTCTCTTAGCAATGCAACATTATCTCGTAACCTTTATCCATCTAATTCGAAATTTTAATTAGACAGCAGCTTTCCGTTATTGCCGCAGAATAAATTGTAGATACTGTACTAAAGTGTTTTTTTTTCTGTTTCGATTGTTCTCAATCCGACGCTCGGCCTCCTTTCCGGAATACGGTGAGTTGAGCCTAGCCCAATGTAGACTCTATTTTCCCACCCTAACCGCGATCACTCGACATGAAAACTGAACAAAACGTGACAAAAACACACGCGAAATTTGACAATTGAAAATTAAATCGCACGTCAGCTCAAGTTAAATAGTGTATTATGAAACAAAGTAAAAAATTGAAATTTTGTCATAACTAATTCT